CAGAGCAGCAGGGCACGCCCCACGAAGCCCAGTCATCCGTGGCCTCCAGGGGCTGGGGGATCCCAGGTCCCAACGGGCTCCGAGCTGACGCGGGGTACAGCCAAGCTGACCCGTGGGATGGCCCAGGCTCTGAGTTTTTATAGCCCGCGATGGGCGGGGTCCCACTGCTATCGGGGTCCAGATGGGGTCCTTATCAGAGAGTTCACACTTTCCGTTTGGCAGTCCCGTCCCGAGGGCATTCCGTTAGCTCATTGCCTCTGTCTTGGGCATCTCGCCCCTTGCCATAACTGTCATGGCTGACAGAAACGCCCTGTGGGACTGTCAGACATTGACCAGAAAGCCGGTTCTGCTCCGGATTTCGACGGGGCTGTGCACAGGAAGTGTTCACAGTGTCACCAAGATCCGGCTGCAGAAATGGTGGCGCGGGAGGAGTCTTAATGGGGCAAATGACGGTAATGATAGCAAGCGTTATGTGTCGGGCCTTGCAAGCCGCAGTCCTGAGAGGTAGTTCCCATTATGAAGGCCGCTTTGCAGATAAGAAAACTGAGGTTACGTGACTTGGTCATGTGACCCTGGGCAAGTGACCGACCAGCTCCGTGCTTCAGTTTCCTCATCTGGAAAATGGTGATAAAACAGTACCCAGGGCCAGGGTGGACCACCCTCCACCCAGTAACCTCTGCCTCCAAGTGTGTGCCTAGGCGAAGGGGGCGTTAGTTGCCCCTTTGTGGGGTGGGGGCAGGGGGGCGGGGGAGAGGGACAATTCCCTCCCACCCCGGGTCTAAATAACCCCGCAGGAGGCGGGTTGGTCCTCCTAATCTCCCTTTCTCATTCTTCACCATTTCCTACCGGGCTGTAGGCTGGGGCCGGAAAGATAAGCGGTCTGGGGTTCAGCTTCGCTGACTAACAAACAGATTGACAGCCCCACCGCCCACTGGCCGGGCCCTCTAACCCTCCTGCAAACCCTAGCTTCGGCCTTCCTTTCCCTTCCACTCTCTCACTCACTGCCTGAACGAGTCTTTTGTCCCAGTGGGAGAGAGCACAGCCCAAGACCTTTAACCCCCCACATACCCCAAAGAGCACACACCGGTACAAGACACACCGAAGAGCCCTCTGAGGCCGTGATGCCCGCCACGTAATAGAGTAGAGAGCCTTGTAAGGGTCAAGGCCCGTTTTTCTGGCTAGTCAAAAGAGAGGAGCGGAGGCCGGCAAGCTTTTTCTACAAAGGACCAGATAGTACATATTTTAGGCTTCGTAGGCCACATATAGCCTCTGGCATCTTCTTCTTTCTTTCCCTTTAAAAATACCAAAAGTGGCTGCAGTCCGGCTTGGACGTGAAGGCTCTAGTTTGCTAATCCTTGCAATAGAGTCTTTGGTTCCCTTCTAGGGACTAAGCCCATGCTTCCGAGGAGAGGTGTTCCTTTTGTGTGCAGGGTGAGAACAGATTCGTGGACAGGGTCCTGTCTCTTCTGGTGTTTTTCTACTGGGTCAAGTAAATGTCCCTGTCCAGCCCTAACCAGTTTTGCTCAGTGGGTAGACCCCTGCGGACTCAGGGGTCCCAGGTTCCATTCCGGTCAAGGGCGTATGCCTTGGTTGCGGGCACATCCCCAGTGGAGGGTATGCAGGAGGCAGCTGATTGATGTTTCTCTCTCTTCAATGTTTCTAATTCCTTCTCCCTCTGTAAAAAAAAAATCAATGAAATGTATTTAAATAAATAGTGGGGCATGTGCAAGAGGTGGCTGATTGATATTTCTCTCATCCATGTTTCTAATTCCTTCTCCCTCTCTGTAAAAAAAAAGCAATGAAATATATTTAAATAAATAGATAAATGTCCCTGTACAGAGTGAGGCTAGGGAGTCCTGCAGTTTCTGTAATGTTCTTCCACTGAACCAAGCAGGGGTTTCTATATAGGACAAGACGGATGTTTTTATTTTTATTTTATTCATTTATTTTTTTAAGACGGGTGTTTTTAGAAAGCTCCAGACTGTGGGTTCCCATAAACATTCAGGATGGGGCTTCTTCCACTGCATTGTGACAGATTCGTATGGCTGGTTGGTGCAGTGCAGGCTCAGTACAGGTGTTTCTGTACAGCTTCAGAGCTGTGTTCACACAGAACATAAGATCAGGTATTCATGTCCAGATTCAGTCAAAAGATGATTATTAATGAGATGAATTAGGCTACCTGTTGTAACAAACAAGCCCAGAATCTCAGGGTCTTAACCAGTAAATGTTGGTTTCTTGCGCATACAAAATCCAATGTGAATATTTACTGCTGGTTATTCATGGATCACTTCCTTTTTGTGGCTCTGCTCTCCTTTGAGTCCTTGGAGTTATCGCTACTCAGCTGGTAGATGAGAAAGGGAGGATTCTGTGAGAGGTTTTTTGTCTTTGTTAATTCTCGCCAGATGATAGTTTTCCATTGATTCTTAGAGTGGAAGGGAGGGAGGGAGAGAGGGAGAGAGAGAAAAATCAATGTGTATGTGAGAGAAAAATCGACATGAAAGATACACATCAATCACTTGCCTCCTGTAACTGGGGCTGGGGGGGGGGCAATCCTATAACCCAGGTATGTGCCCTTGACTGGGAATTGAACCAGAGACCCTTTGGTGCACAGGCCCATGCTCTAACCACTGATCACAGCAGCCAGGGACCATGAGAGGTTCCTATGGGCCAGGCCTGGAAATTGTGTATGTCACTCTGCTCACTCAGAACTGTCACATGTCCAATTGTCCTTGTCAGGGGGGCTGGGAAAGTGAATGAGTCAGGAAGAAAGGGGAACAGGGTTGACAAGCCTATAGCAGTGTCTGCTTCTGAATTCCGTAGGCTCCCCAGAGCTATGCTGTTTCATGTGGGAGCCACTGGCCACAGTCAGGACAGTGGCTCCTGCACAAGGTGAGGGGAAGGCTTCCAGAACAAGGCTGTCAGAGAGAGAGAGTCTCATCGCGGCTCCTGTACAGGGTCAGGAGAGTGTTTCCAGAGGGCAAGTTCCGGGTTCCTATAAAAGATCAGGTCAGAGATTCCTGAAACCAGTCAAGTTATGGATTTCTGTTGGAAGTCAGGGAAAGGTTTTCTGCAGAATCCGGTTATAGGCTCCAGCACTGTTATAGACAAGGCTTCCTGTAGAGGGTCAGGCCATGGAGCCAGGACAGGGATATGTCAGCAAGCCCTGCCCAGTGTCTGGGCAGGGGGTCCTGTGCCAGGTGAGGCTGTAGGCGCCTGTATAGGATGAGGGCTGGACTTAAAGCAGGGGGTCAGGACAGGCGCCCCACCACGGACTCAGGAAAGGTTTTTCATGTAAGTTCAAGACTGAGGTTCGTGTTGAGAGTTAGATCACGGGTTCCTGTGGACTCTGTGGGGTGGGGCGTGAGGTAGGGATTGTGTGCAGAGTGACGTCAGGGCTCATTGTCAAGAATGGAAGCAAGGCTCCTGAACTCAATCAGGGTTCCCAAAGAGTTTGCAGATGGGGGTTTCTTTTTTATGTAGTATGTTTTTATTGATTTCAGAGAGGAAGGGACAGGGAGAGATAGAAACATCAATGATGAGATAGAATCATGGATCGGCTGCCTCCTATACACACCTCACTGGGGATCCAGCCTGCAGCTTGGGCATGTGCCCTGACCAAGAATCCAACCTTGTCTTCCTGGTTCATAAGTGAACCAGGCCGGACTAGAGTGTTTTTTCAGGTGTTCATGGACGACAGCAGCTGAGCCTTCCAGCCATTGTGGAGCACAGTGAGCACTCAGGAATGATGCTGCTTGCGGTCAGGAGCCTCTGGGCAGTGTGGAGGCCAAGCCACGGAGCCTGGCTCAGCCCTGAGCCACCAGCTGTGGGCCCTGGGAGAGCCACTTACCCTGCCTGGGTAGGGTGTCTCCTGACGCCGTGCATGCTCCGATGTGGGGGTTTGTTCCAGGGAAGAACAGATCCCACATTAGGGGGAGCAGTTCACCCAGGTGGGTACGGATGTTGGGGAGGGAGTTGGCACTGTGGGGAGCTCCCCACCTGTGGGCTCTAAATATCCCCCCTAGAGATTATTTTGTCTCCTAATCTCCCCCCTCCTTCTCTACCATTTCCCACAGGGCTGCATCAGTGGTTCTTCTCCCTCTCTGGGCTGAGAGAGAGAGAAGAGATGAGTGACAGGAGCGTCCATGGACAACCCCAGGGTCTCAGACTGGCCTTCTGCCCTTGTTGCTGGCCGCCATTCCAGCCCCACTCCTTCCTCCCATTCCTGTCCTAACATGTCTTCTGTCCCTGGAGGTGGGTCCCTAGCTTACAGACTGAAACTATATATATTGATGCCTCCACAAGCACGTGTACAGAGCTGCTCACCCTGTCAGCCACTCAGAGGCACGGTGACAGGGCACATGACACGGGATACGCTCACATACACATGCTGGCACACAAGCACTGCCCTTACCGGACCCACAGAGACCTCCTGACACACAGTACCTCAGGTCGCACTGCTAGGTCTCTACATTCCGTCCCACACAGTCCTCATTCAGCATTCCAGAAATGTTTGTTTATCAGATACTGACCCTGGTACACATGCTGTGCCTGGTACACCATCTCAGACCCACCCTGCGTGCACAATCACATGAGCACAACCTCACATGCTGCCTCAGCACACCCCGTTACACATATACCCCCATGTCCTCTCATACAGTCATGTGTGCCCCGTTTCTCACAGTCGCCTGGTGTCAGGCACGCCATCTCTCATCCCCTCACCCCCATGGTCACTACCGCACAGAGCACTCGGCCACCACACAGTCTCTGCCCATGACGTGTGCATGTACATGCCATATCATACACCCTGGTTGCTGTCACATGCGGTTTCACATGCACATCATGTTATCCTTGCACATCACAACCCGCTATCATGAAGGGTCACGGGTGCTGTCTCTCACAGCCTCACGCCACCACCAGAGAACCACAAGCACCGTTGCATGGCTCTTTATTCAGTCCCACTCAGACCCACACCTCCAACTTCAGGATACGGGTGCTTTATTTCACAAATCTTTGACAATCCAGACCAAGGGGTGTGGGGGGCCCAGAGGGTTGGGCTGTAGAGGGACTGTGGAGAGGGACCCAGCCCTGCTCTGGGGACATGCTCTGTGTCCTCAAGGGCTGAATGGCGCCTCCACAGCGCTGCTGGCGGCGGGAGGCATGGGGCCTGTGGGGAAGGACCCTGTGGGTGAGCCCAACAGGGGCCCGGGGAAAGGCATGAGGTGGCTGACAGGCCCTGACAGCACCAGGGGGCCCAGGCCTTGGTAGAGTTGGGCAGTACCAAGAGGGTCCAATGTCAAGCCTGAGGCCACCTCCCCATAATTTCCACCATCGCTGCCCCCAGCCACCACCATGGAGCCACCCGCTGGCCCATCAGCTGGTCCCGGGCCTCCCAGACTGCACGCTGGCTTCTTCTTCTCTTTGTGGGATTTCTTGTGCTTTCTGGTCTTTACACCATCCTTCTGCGTGGCCAGTGGCTGGGCGGCATTCCCCTGACAAAAGGGAGGCCATGAGTGTGCCCCAACCTCAGACTTTGGCCTCTGTGTCTCCACCAGGGACCCCCTTTCCACCCCCCTCCTTAAGAGTAGGGAACTGGCTCAGCACTAGGGGAGCAGGCCCTAGCTGTGGCACAGAGAGTGCCTAAGGAATCCTGAGCTTGTGAGGCCCTAAGCTGGGGAGAGGGTGGGAGAGCCGCTAGCCTTAGGACTAGCTGATGGCTGGAGGGAGGAGGAAGGAGATGAGAAATGGCCGAGAGAGAAGGGAGCAGGAGGGATAAGGAAGTCAGGGAGGAGATGGAAGTACAGAGAAGAGAGGGATGAGGGGGAAGGAGGGGGGGAGAATAACAGGAAGAGAGGGAATGGAGATAGGAAGAATACAGAAAGGAAAGGAAGGAGAAGAAAGGGAGGATTGGAGGGATGGGGGAGGGTGCAGGTTCCAAGAGGCAGGGCACACCTGGTGTCGCTTGTAATGGAGTCCGCAGGCATTGCACAGAGGTTCTCCATTGGCATTCACCCTCCACACTGCCGTGGTGGTTGTCTGGCAGTTGGTGCACTGGGTACCTGCCCGCTTGCTGACCTTCTGGAGGCAGCAAGAATGTGAGGGTCAGTGCTTGGGGGGAGGGGGAGAGACAGGAGGTGAGGGTCAGGGTGACAGCAGTGCCTCCTGGACAAGAACCACAGGCACCGTTGAGGACAAGGAGTAGACTGAGGGTTCTCTAAGGGGCGAGGACATGGCCTCCTGTCTCGGGGCTTTCCAAATGGTGTGGGAGCTGCATCAGTGGTTCTCAACGTTGGCGGACACTGGATGCACTTGGGGAGTCGGAAATAATCCTGATGCCCGGCAGCGCCCCAGACCAAGTAAATCAGCACATCTAGGGAGGGCCCCACGGTGATCCCAGTGTGCAGCCAAGTATGAAAACGGCTGTGCAGGGAGTGGACGGCGTGCCTGCTTGCAGCCTGAGGGTGAGCTGAGGGTAGACACTCCTGTACAGAGCTGGGTCCCTGAGTGGATGGGGCAGGGAGAGGGGTCAGAGTGTGAGGACAGAGATCCTGCAGGGAGTGGGAACAGCAGTGCCTGGGTGAGGGGAGGCAGGCCTGGGGTCTTACCGGGCGCTTTTTGAGCTGGTTCTGCCTGTTCATCCTCTGATCATCTGCATCGCTCTGGTGCAACAGAGAAGTGGCCGTTGCTTCACAATTTTCACACTCCTTGGCCTCTGGTGTGGTGGACAGCGGAAAGAGGGATCCAGGCTCAGCCAAACTTTTCCTTGGACCCGCCCCCTACCTCAACCTCCCTGTCCCTTTTGGGGGAGCTCACCAGAGGTGGCCATGGGCAGGGCTCCATGAAGATTGGTGGGCAAATAGGCCAATGGATTCGGGGAGCTTTCGGTGGGAGGAAAGAAGCCCCTTGGAAATTCAGGGGCCCCGGAGGCACTGGTGGGGACAGGGATGGAGGAAAGCACTGCAGGTGCCATGGACAGCAGGTCCAAACTCAGTTGCTGTGTTGTTAAGGTCTCTAGGAATGTGCCTCTGGCATAGGCATCTTCTGAGACCTGGGGGTCCTCGCTGGTGGGGCACACAGTGGAGGACAGGTAGACCCCAGTGTTGCTATAGGCCCAGCTGGTGTATTGTGAGCCGCCTGGGGTCTCCTCCATACAGTTGAGAACCTGGTAGCCTGTTGAGGGGGTGGGTATGGGAAGGAAGAAAGAAGGGGACAGAAGATCTGACGCCATCTGCTTTCAGGGTGCAGTGGTACCCAACAGCCCCAGCATGGTGGCCAACCTTCCCACCTTCCCATAGGTTGCAAGAACAGCTGCTGGCCCTGAGGGACTCCAGGACCTGAGACCCCTGGTCACCCTGGCAGCTGCAGTCACCTGAAGCCACTTCCCAATGGACTTGGAGCAAAACTGTGTGGAGCCCCATGGGCCACTCAACAACGAGGGCCACCCCCACCTACTTACAGGATTCATTCCTGATGTGGCCTTCTGGGGATATACATTCCCAGGCCTGCACATACGTAGACAAATTGGTCCACATAGCCATGTGAAGGCTTCTGGCCTTTTCCAAAATGGCTTCTTTGTTGGGTTCTACCCTAGCTAAGGGTCTCCCTGGCAACCACAACAGCATGGAACCCTGCCAGGAAAGCCAGTGCAGCAGGTGCTCCCTGTGCTCAGACTAGGGCCAGGGGTCAATCCTATAACCCAGGTATGTGCTGTTGACTAGGAATTGAACCCTCGACCCTTTGGTGCACAGGCCCATGCTCTAACCACTGATCGCACCTTCAGTGCCCATGAGGGTTTCCTATGGGCCAGGCCTGGAAGTTGTGTATGTCACTCTGCTCACTCCATTGATCAGCACTGTCACATGTCCACCTGTCCTTGTCAGGGGGGCTGGGAAAGTGAGTGAGTCAGGAAGAAAGGGGAACAGGGTTGACAAGCCTATAGCAGTGTCTGCTTCAGGATTCCGTAGGCTCCCCAGAGCTACGCTGTTTCATGTGGGAGCCACTGGCCACAGTCAGGGCAGTGGCTCCTGCACAAGGTGAGGGGAAGGCTTCCAGAACAAGGCTGTCAGAGAGAGAGAGTCTCATCGCGGCTCCTGTACAGGGTCAGGAGAGTGTTTCCAGAGGGCAAGTTCCGGGTTCCTATAAAAGATCAGGTCAGAGATTCCTGAAACCAGTCAAGTTATGGATTTCTGTTGGAAGTCAGGGAAAGGTTTTCTGCAGAATCCGGTTATAGGCTCCAGCACTGTTATAGACAAGGCTTCCTGTAGAGGGTCAGGCCATGGAGCCAGGACAGGGATATGTCAGCAAGCCCTGCCCAGTGTCTGGGCAGGGGGTCCTGTGCCAGGTGAGGCTGTAGGCGCCTGTATAGGATGAGGGCTGGACTTAAAGCAGGGGGTCAGGCTCAGAAAAGGTTTTCCATGTAATTTCAAGACTGCGGTTCTTGTTGAGAGTTGGATCACGGGTTCCTGTGGACTCTGTGGGGTGGGGCGTGAGGTAGGGATTGTGTGCAGAGTGACGTCAGGGCTCATTGTCAAGAATGGAAGCAAGGCTCCTGAACTCAATCAGGGTTCCCAAAGAGTTTGCAGATGGGGGTTTCTTTTTTATGTAGTATGTTTTTATTGATTTCAGAGAGGAAGGGACAGGGAGAGATAGAAACATCAATGATAGATAGAATCATGGATCGGCTGCCTCCTATACACACCTCACTGGGGATCCAGCCTGCAGCTTGGGCATGTGCCCTGACCAAGAATCCAACCTTGTCTTCCTGGTTCATAAGTGAATGCTCAACCACTGAGCCACACTGGCCGAACTAGAGTGTTTTTTCAGGTGTTCATGGACGACAGCAGCTGAGCCTTCCAGCCGTTGTGGAGCACAGTGAGCACTCAGGAGACGATGCTGCTTGCGGTCAGGAGCCTCTGGGCAGTGTGGAGGCCAAGCCACGGAGCCTGGCTCAGCCCTGAGCCACCAGCTGTGGGCCCTGGGAGAGCCACTTACCCTGCCTGGGTAGGATGTCTCCTGACGCCGTGCATGCTCCGATGTGGGGGTTTGTTCCAGGGAAGAACAGATCCCACATTAGGGGGAGCAGTTCACCCAGGTGGGTACGGATGTTGGGGAGGGAGTTGGCACTGTGGGGAGCTCCCCACCTGTGGGCTCTAAATATCCCCCCTAGAGATTATTTTGTCTCCTAATCTCCCCCCTCCTTCTCTACCATTTCCCACAGGGCTGCATCAGTGGTTCTTTCCCTCTCTGGGCTGAGAGAGAGAGAAGAGATGAGTGACAGGAGGGTCCATGGACAACCCCAGGGTCTCAGACTGGCCTTCTGCCCTTGTTGCTGGCCGCCATTCCAGCCCCACTCCTTCCTCCCATTCCTGTCCTAACATGTCTTCTGTCCGTGGAGGTGGGTCCCTAGCTTACAGACTGAAACTATATATATTGATGCCTCCACAAGCACGTGTACAGAGCTCACCCTGTCAGCCACTCAGAGGCACGGTGACAGGGCACATGACACGGGATACGCTCACACACACATGCTGGCACACAAGCACTGCCCCTTACCGGACCCACAGAGACCTCCTGACATGCTGCTAGGTCTCCACATTCCATCCCACACAATTCTCGTTCAGCATTCCAGAAATGTTTGTTTATCAGATGCTGAGCCTGGTATACATGCTGTGCCTGGTACACCGTCTCAGACCCACCCTGCGTGCAGTCACATGAGCACAACCTCACATGCTGCCTCAGCACACCCGGTTACACACATACCCCCATGTTCTCTCATTCAATCACGTGTGCCCTGCTTCTCACAGTCGCCTGGTGTCAGGCACGCCATCTCTCACCCCCTCACCCCATGGTCACCACTGCACAGAGCACTCGACCACCACACAGTCTCTGCCCATGAAGTGTGCATGTACACGCCATATCATACACCCTGGTTGCTGTCACATGTGGTTTCACATACATCATGTCATATTTGCACATCATAACCCACTATCATGAAGGGGCACGGGTACTGTCTCTCACAGCCTCACGCCACCACCAGAGAACCACAGGCCCGTTGCACACACACCTACCACGGCTCTTTATTCAGACCCACACCTCCAACTTCAGGATACGGGTGCTTTATTTTACAAATCGTTGACGGTCCAGACCAAGGGGTGTGGGGGGCCCAGAGGGTTGGGCTGTAGAGGGACTGTGAGAGGGACCCAACCCTGCTCGGGGACATGCTCTGTGTCCTCATGAACTAAGTGGCGCCACCACAGTGCTGCTGGTGGTGGGAGGCATGGGGCCTGTGGGGAAGGACCCTGTGGGTGAGCCCAACAGGGGCCCAGGGAAAGGCATGAGGTGGCTGACAGGCCCTGACAGCACCACGGGGCCCAGGCCTTGGTAGAGATGGGCAGTGCCAGGTGGGCCCAATGTCAAGCCTGAGCCCACCTCCCCAAAATTCCCACCATCGCTGCCGCCAGCCACCACCATGAAGCCACCCGCTGGCCCATCAGCTGGTCCCGGGCCTCCCAGACTGGAACCTCGTTTCTTTTTTCCTTTTCCTGATGCCTTGCGGTTTCTAGTCTGGATCCCATCCTTCCGCATGGTCAGTGGTCGGTTCACCTGATGAAAGAGAGGCCATGAGTGTTCCCCAACCTCAGACTTTGGCCTCTGTGTCTCCACCAGGGACCCCCTTTCCACCCCCCTCCTTAAGAGTAGGGAACTGGCTCTGCACTAGGGGAGCAGGCCCTAGCTGTGGCACAGAGAATGCCTAAGGAATCCTGAGCTTGTGAGGCCCTAAGCTGGGGAGAGGATGGGAGAGCCGCTAGCCATAGGACTAGCTCAATGGTCAGCAAACTGCGGCTAGCGAGTCACATGTGGCTCTCGCGCCGTGGTTTGCCACTCTGTTGACTAATGAATTTGCCAACCACTGGACTAGATGGAGGGGAGAAGAAAGGAGATGAGAAATGAGATGAGAAATGGTGGAGAGAGAAAGGAGCAGGAGGGATAAGGAAGTCAGGGAGGAGATGGATGTACAGAGAAGAGAGGGATGAGGGGGGAAGGAAGAAGGAAGAGAGTAACAGGAAGAGAGAGGAGGAATATAGGAAGAATACAGGAAAGGAAAGGAGAAAGAAGGGAGGATTGGTGGGATGGGGGAGCAGTGGGGAGGCTAAGAGGCAGAGCACACCTGGTGTAATTTGTAATAGAGTCCGCAGGCATTGCACACAGGGTCCCCACTGGCATTCCTCCGCCACAGTGTCGTGGTGGTTGTCTGGCAGTTGGTGCACTGGGTACCTGCCCGCTTGCTGACGATCTGGGGACAGAAAGAATGTGAGGGTCAGTGCTTTGTGGTGGTGGTGGGGGGTGGAGGACACAGGAGGTGAGGGTCAGGGTGAATGAGGGCTTCCTGGACAAGAACCACAGGCACCGTTGGGGACAAGGAGTAGACTGAGGGTTCTCTAAGGGGCGAGGACATGGCCTCCTGTCCCGGGGCTTTCCATATGGTGTGGGGGCTGCATCAGTGGTTCTCAACGTTGGTGGACACTGGATGCACTTGGGGAGTCGGAAATAATCCTGATGCCCGGCAGCGCCCGAGACCAAGTAAATCAGCACATCTAGGGAGGGCCCCACGGTGATCCCAGCGTGCAGCCAAGTATGAAAACGGCTGTGCAGGGAGTGGACGGCGTGCCTGCTTGCAGCCTGAGGGTGGGCTGAGGGTAGACACTCCTGTACAGAGCTGGGTCCCTGAGTGGATGGGGCAGGGAGGGGGGTCGGGGTTCTCGTAGCATGTGAGGACAGAGATCCTGCAGGGAGTGGGAACAGCAGTGCCTGGGAGAGGGGAGGGAGGCCTGGGGTCTTACCAGGCGCTTTTTGGGCCGGATGAGGGGCCTGTTTTGCCCATTCATCTTGTGATAGAGGCCACAGGCATTGCACAGGTAGTGGCCTGTCCTGTCTCGCCGCCACAGCGGAGTGGCTGTCGCTCCGCAGTTCACACACTCTCTGGCCTCTGGTGTGGTGGAGAGAGGGGAAGAGGGATCCAGGCTCAGCCCAACTTTGCCTTGGGCCCCAACCCCCTCCTCAACCTCCCGGTCCCTTTTGGGGAACCTCACCACAGGTGGCCAGGGGCAGGGCTCCACGGAGCTTGGGGGAGGAATAGGCTGCTGGATTGAGGGGGCTTCCGGTGGGAGAGAAGAAGTTATTGGGAAAGTCAGGGCCCCCATAGGCACTGCTGGGGACAGGGATGGAGGAAGGCACTGCAGGTCCCAGTGTCAACAGGTCCGGACTCAGTCGCTCTGTCTTTAACGTTTCTAGGAAACTGCCTTTTCCATCCGGATCTTCTGAGGCCTGAGGTGGGGAGTCCTCGCGGGTGGGGCACACAGTGGAGGGAGGGTAGAGCCCCGTCTTGCCATAGGCCCAGCTGGTATATGGTGGGCCCCCTGGGATCCCCTCCATACAATTGAGCAGTGGGTACACCTGGAAGACTGATAGGGGGTGGGTATGGGAAGGAAGAAAGAAGGGGACAGAAGGTCTGATGCCATCCTGCTTTCAGGGTGCAGTGGTACCCAACAGCCCCAGCATGGTGGCCAACCTTCCCACCTTCCCATAGGTTGCCAGAACAGCTGCTGGCCCTGAGGGACTCCTGGACCTGAGCCCCACTGGTCACCCTGGCAGCTGCAGTCACCTGCAGCCATTTCCCAATGGGCTTTGTGGGGCCCCATGGGCCACTCAACAACAAGGGCCACCCCCCACCCTACTTACAACATTCATTCCTGATGCGGCAGTATGGGGATATACATTCCCGAGGCTGCACATAGATAGGGAACATGGTCCACATAGCCTCGTGAATGCTTCCGGCCATTTTCAAGATGGCCTCTTTGTGGGCTTCTACCCTAGCCAAGGGTCTCCCTGGCAACCCCAACAGCATGGAACCCTGCCAGAAAAACCACCCCAAAGAAGTACCTGGGGAGTGTCTGTAGGCCTCAGCATCCCTGTAGTAGGCCAGTGCAGCAGCTGCAGCCGAGGCGGTGTTCTGGGCAGTGGAGGAAGCTGCTGCATCCAAGCCTTCAGGCCCCGAGGGGAAGAAGGCCCCCGACTCTGGTAGTGAGGACACTAGGGCAGGGTCCACAAACTGGGGCAGGGACTCAGAGGTCCCCAGGGCCCCCAGGCCAGGGAACTCCATGGGTCCTCTGAGGGTTGACCTGTGAGGACAGGAGGGGTCCTCAGACACTGAAATCATGCCCCTCCCCTCGCTTCTCTGCACTCTCTTTTCTCCTTTCTCCTCCCACTCAATCTTTATATCCCTCCTTTCCATCGCTATAGTCCCTTCTCCCCTCCCCTCCTCTTCCCTTACTGCCCCCACCTCATCTCTCCCTAGTCGTCTATTCTATCCTCTAACTCTCCATCCTCTCCTTTCCCATTCTCCTCCCTTTCTTGCCTCATTTGTTTTTTCTTCTTCCTTCTTCCTCTCCCTCCTATACCCTCTTGTCTTCCTTCCTCTCCTCTTCCTCCCTCCCTTTTCTTTTCTTCTTCCTCCTGCTCCTCCTCTTCCCTTTCTTCTCTTTCCTCTCCCCCCTCCCTCCCTCCCATCCCTTCTTTTCCCTCCTCTCACTCAACTTCCCTTCTTTCTTCTCTCCTCTCTTCCCTCTTCCTTCTCTTTCTACTCCTTCTTCCTCCTCACCCCCCCCCACCCTTCCCCTTCTCTTCCTCTCCCTTACCCCCTCATCCTCTCTCCCTGGTCCCCTTTCTCTTCTCTTCTTCTATCTCTTCCTTCTTCTCTCCTCTCCTCCCCCTAAGCTACCTCCTATCCCCTTTCCCCCTTTCTACATCTCCTCTCCTCTCCTCCTTTTTCTTCATCCTTCTCTTTCTGCTCATCTTTCTCTCTGCTCATTTCTTTCCTCCTGTCCTCTTCCTCTTCCTCTTCTTTTCCTGCCCCATCTTCTCTTCCCTCCCCCTCTAGAGGAGTCTGGGTTGGATGGGATGGAGTGTAGAATTAGAGTCCCACGAACCCCTTGGTCACCCCCTTGGACATGGGGGTTCACCCTCTTATGTTCCCCAGTTTCATCCCTATCTGCTGCATCTGGCCTTCTGACTTTCTCAGAAACCTCAAGGTTTCCGGTTTGACTCCCCCCTCCCCCACCCAGTTGGGTCTGCAGACAGAGTTCCTCCCTGATCCATGGTGGGGGGGTCAGTACCCCCCACTGCTTATCTCTACCATCCCCGCCCAACTTTTGAAATCACCCCAAGGCCACTGGCTTCCTCTGAGAAGGGGGACAGGTGGGAGGTGTTCCCTTTACCCATAGCCACTTCCCTGGGGAGGCTGGCCATAGTTCTGCTTTCTACTTCCTTCAGCCCCCACCCACCATCCCCAGGCCTCAGTTTCCCCATTTGCCAGATAGGTGGTGACAAGGCCAAGCTAAGACCTGTGAGATGGCAGCTTGGTCTGTGCCCCTTTGCCACTACTCTGTATGTATCACTGTCTCCCTGGGTCTTTTTCTCTAAGACTGTTTCTCTCCTCTCTGTATTTCGTATCATTTCTATGCTACCATGACATATACTGCTCTCTCTTTCTCCATAAATGTCTACTGGTTTTCCTTCGCTCTGTCTTCCCATGTCTCTATCTCTATGATTGTTTCTCTCCATCTTTATCGCTGTCTTTTTTTTTTTTTAAACCCTCTTTATTGTTGAAAGTTTTACATATGTCTCCCTTTTCCCCCATTGACCTCTCCCCGCTCGCTCCCACCCCCAGCACATGCTCTCATCCCCCTACTGTCTGTGTCCATTGGTCATGCTCATATGCATGGGTACAAGTCCTTTGGTTGATCTCTTAACTGCCCCTTCCCCTGCCTTCCCTCTGAGGTTTGACGTATCTCTCTGTCTTTTTTAAAAGTATGTTTTTATTGATGAGGGAGAGACAGAGATAGAGACAGAGACAGAGACAGAGAGAGAGACAGACATCGACCGGGGAATTGAACCTGCAACCCCTTAGTACATGGGACAACACTCAACCAACTGCGCCACAACAGCCAGAGCTATGTCTTTTTATCTCTTTTTGTTTCTCCTTTTCTTAGTTTCCTTTATATCTTTTTCTCTTTCTCTTCTCTCTCTCCCTCTCTACTCATATCTACATCTTTCACATTCTCTTTCTGCTTATTTGTCTCTGCCTGCTTTCTCTCTCTCTCTCTCTGGGCCCTCTGGCCTTATTTCCATATGTTCTATTATCTCCATATCCTGGACCAGCCCCCACTGCACATAGCTCCAGATGAAGACCCAGGCAGTACCCCTGACCCTGACTTGTCCTGTGAACCTAAAGTGTCCCTGTCTGTAGAATAGAGTGATGGAGATAGAATGGAAGGCCCCTTCAAGCCCCTGCTTATGTGAAGGGTTGGGCTCTGTGTTGGGATTATGCTGGTAAAGAGTTGGCCCTGTGGATATGCCCATAACCAACCTAGACACCAGGGTCTCTTCCCAGGGAAGGGGTCTTGTCTCCTCATCTCATCCTCCATCTCTTTCATCTCTGTCCCTCCATGATTCTAGTTGTGAGTCTTTCTCTATCCCCCCCCCAACCCCTGTTCTTGTCTCACTCTCATTTCTGTTGGTCTCCTGCTCTCCTGCTGTCTATCTCATTCTTTCTGAGTCTCTGTTTCTCCTTTCTCTCTCTGCACATCTCTCTTGCTCTTTTTTTCTCTCTATTTTTCTCCTCATCTCTCTGTTTCTTCCTCCCTTCTCTCTTTGTGTCCCTGTGTGTCTTGCTTTTTGCATCTGTCTCCACTGTTCCCTTATTCCCTCATCCACACCTTATTCCCCCATAACCTCCCTCCAATCCCCTCTGACCCCCTGCATCTGACACCTTGGTGGGTCTAGGGCTGCCCACCCCTCTCATGGCAGGGGCCCAGTCCTCCCCCCCTGCCCAGTTATCACTCTCCAGACAGAGATAAAGTTTATCTCAAGGCTGGGGGATATGAAAGCTCCTTATCAGCTGCCCCACTAGAGTAAGTCTGCCCCAACGGGCAGCAGGCAGCACCGGCACCCTCAACTCTCCCTCGGCCCAGCCCCTCGCCCAGCCCCTCACCCCAGGTAACGTCCCTACTGCAGCCCTTAGGGGAGGGTCCCTCAGGACTAAAGGGAATAGAAATGGGGTCTTAGGGTAGATGGAGTCCTGGGAGGGGTTGAGGGTTAGATAGGGGTTGAGGAGTCAGAGGGGTTTGGGGTATAGCTATGGGGCCTTGGAAAGCAGGTACGGGGTTTGAGGAGAAGAGACAACCTTGAAAGGTCACACTTTGGGTCCATAAATAGGTTGGGAAGCAGAGACAAGCTTAAGCATCAGGGTGAAGTGTGAGAGTCAGAGAGAAAGTTGAGAAGTTAGAGATGCAGTTTGGGGGTCAGAGATGGATTCTGAGTGTCATGGAAAAGTTGGGGATCCAAGAGTTTTAATGGAGCAGAGATGCAGTTTAGGGGGTCAGAGATGGGTTTGGTCAGGCAGAAAAGTGTCTGATTATTAGAGATGGGTTGTGGGAGCCTAGGAGGAGCTTCAGAACTGGAGTAGAGAAAGGTTTGGGGCCAGAGAGGCCTGGTGGACAGACATTTAGGAGCTGAGATGGGGTTTAGGGAAGGCAGACAAGAAGTAATGTGACAGTACAGACTTGGAGAAGTAGACGGTGTTTGGGGTGGCAAAGGCATTTTGATGAACAGGCAAGGATTTGGGGGAGACAGATGGTTTTGGGGGATCAGAGAGAAGTCACTGGGAACAAATACAAGGTTTGAGAGTCAGAGATGGGAGTAAGAGGATGGAGCTAGGGTTTGGCGGGCCAGAGATAGGTATGGGGGTCAAAGGGAGAAATTAGGGCAGAGGCATGGATGTTGTAGAGCAGATAGGGCTTGGGGAGCAGAAATAGTTGGGGCGGGAGAGTGAGTTTTGGGGGAGAATTTGTACACAGAGACCAGTTCAGGTGAGGGAAAATCAGATCTGGGGCAGAAGTAGGATTTGGAGGATAAAAACATGTTTTAGGGGCAGAGATGGGCGCATTAAGGGATCAGAGGACGTAGACATTTTGGAAGGTGTAGATGGGAGTCAGGGCAGAAAGTGGAGTAGGGGGGTAGGTCTGGGGTAGGAATGGGGGCTGGAAAGGCAGAGGTGGTCTGAAGGATCTACTAAGGGTTCAGGGGTGGTAGACACTGTGGGGACCCCGGGTAGGTTGGGAACCTGAAGCAGGCTAGGGGGATAGCCTTGAGGTAAGGGACAGCAGGCCCGGAGCTTGCCTTGCCGGGGACTCTCGGGGGGCTGAGACTGACCTGCGCTGGTTGGTGCAGAGGGTTCAGCTGCTTTGGGGATGTGGCGAGCTCTGTGATCCCAGGGGGTGTCCTGCCTGGCCTTGGCCTTTGAGGCTCCCTTCCTCCTTCTCTCCCTCCCTCCCCTCTCCCTCCTCCCTCCTCCCCAGGGAGTGGCTGGTGCAGCAGTGGGTGGGGCAGACCAGGGGAGGGGGCGGGCCTCCTGCTGGTGGGGTACCTCTTGGACAGTGGGGACCCTCCTCCATCCCATCGGCCCACCCCATGGATTCTTGGACCCTCTTTGATTTGGGCTCCCATGGACTTCAGTGTCCAACCAAACAATATGGGCTGAAGCCAAGATAAAACGAAAATAGCAGATGTGGTTTCGTGACTTTGCTCGGCTTTCCAGTGGGTGTTTGTAAAACCCCTACTATGTGCTGGGCCAGGTGTGGGCTGGGCACTTATGCATGTGAGTCTTGCTGGCCATAGGAATAGGAGGGGAGTGACTGTACCCATTTTGCAGGCAAGAAGAATGAGAGTCAGAAAGGTTAAGTAGGACTTAAACCAGAGCCCATGGGACATCTTGACGACCCAGGCCCAGCCCAGGGCCAGGCCAGGGCTGGTGGGAGGCAGGGGCACACTCACTCAGCACCCCACTGGGGCTTACGCCAGCTCTGCCTGTCCTGGGGCAGCAGATAAGTCTTATCAGATGGAGGCCACGGTGGCTGTTGGCTCCGCGGTAACAGGCTGACTTGGGATGGGGGGCGGAGCTGGGGGGCACCCAGGGACAGCGGCCTCAATTTCTTGCCCGCCATGCTGCTCTGGTGGCGGGAAACAGGTGGAACCAGGGTTTAGTTCCTCTGCCGGTCCTTGCGGAGCGGGATGGGGTGGGGGAAGGAAAGGAGAAATTGGAGG